TGGTCTGATTTCAATATAAGTTGGCACACAAGTAGAGTGTACAATGGTACATAATTTAGTGCTCCAGTTTTTGAATTCGATGAACGGTGTTGCCATAATTACTAAAAATAGAAATTTCTGTGAAATTCCTTTAAAACGCTACCCCTCCTACAGTTTTGTTCTGATTTCAATATAACTTGGCACACAAGTAAACTGCACTAGGATACATAATTAAGTGCATCGGTTTTTGATTTCGATGAACGGTGTTGCCATGGTTACTAAAAATAAAAATTTCTGTAAAATTCCTTTAAAACGCTACTCCTGCTACAGTTTTAGTCTGCTTTTAATATAATTTGGCATACAAGAAGGCTATACTCACAATTGGAATACACTACAATACATAATATGTATATCGGTTTTTGATTTCAGTGAATGTTGTTACCATAATTACTATAAATAGAAATTTCTGTGAAGTACTTTCAAAACGCTACTCCTCCAACAGTTTTCGTTTGATTTCAATATAACTTGGCACAGAAGTAAACTACATTAAGATACAATATTTTATTTATTGTTGCATGTTGCAGTTTCAAATCCAAGTGCTACTTTTCCTTTGTTTTACGTACAGACTAGTAGAGCTACAGTCTCATCAGAGACTTCTGGTTTCAATAGATATTGATTGAAACCAGGTTAAAACATGAGAGCATTGATTTAAAATTGTCAAATAATTCTGGTAAAAAGTTGTACTGACTTATAAGCGGGTCAATGGCAAATCCCCCCCCCCCCCCAAAAAAAAAAAAACTGCAAAAAAACCAACCGACTTACATTTTGTACAAAATGACTCATCTAGCCAATTTTCAAATTTTTTTTAGCAAATCAAAACACAATATTTCCCTTTCCCATTTCACAGGTACCCGATACATCAAAAGAATGCTAAAATTTCGTGACATATTTAAAATTTTCACTTTTCAAGTGCGCCCAGATTCCTGCTGCAAATGATTCATGGTCAGTAGAGTACAGCTATGCAAATAATAATATTGTATCAGATCCTGGTACCATAAACACGCAACTTGAAATCCAGAATGCCTCATGGATTTAATGTATTTTTAACTAAAGTGAGGACTACAGTTAAGTATGTGTGATTAGAACAAACTCAAAGTCTTTATTTTTAATAACTGAAAATAATGAGGTCAAGGTCAAAGGGTCAAAGTAGTTGGTATCCAAAGTAAGGTCTTGTCACAAGAATTACACATGTGAAGTATGAAAGCCCTAACATCAACTGTTCAAAAGTTATGGCCAAGGTTAAAGTTTTTCAAAAGTAGGTCAAATTCCAAGGTCAAGGTCGAAGGGTCAAAGTTGTTGGTATCAAAAGGAAGGTCTTGTCACAAGGATTAAACGTATGAAGTATGAAAGCCCTAGCTGCAACTGTTTTAAAGTTATGGCCAAGGTTAAAGTTTTTTTTTTTAAAGTAGGTCAACAATCCTAGGTCAAGGTCAAAGTTGTTGGCATCCAAAGAAAGGTCTTGTCACAAGATTTACACATATGAAGTATGAAAGCTCTAGCTCCAACAGTTCAAAAGTTATGGCCAAGGTTAATGTTGGGTAAAATTTTGTAAAACTGGGTCAAACTCCAAGGTCAAGTCATAAGGTCAAATATGCTGGTACCCAAAGAAAGGTCTTGTCACAAGGAATACACATGTGAAATATGAAAGCCCTGGCTATAACTAATCAAAAGTTATGAGCAATGTTAAAGTTTTTGCGGACAAACAGACAAACAGACAGACGGACGGACAGGGCAAAAACTATATACCCCCGAATCTTCGATATGGGGGCATAAAAATTTCTATGTATAGTTTTTTTGGGGGGGTGGATAAAAAAAATTAAAAACAATCAAAGAATGAGAGAGAAAAAGAGGGATAATTGAGAGAGAGAGGAGTGAGTGTGGGGAGAGGGGAGGGAGAAGTGAGAGAGAGAGTGTGGAGAGAGAGGAAGGAGCAAAGGGAGGGAGATAAAAGGAGTGAGTGTGATGAGAGGGAGGAATGAGTGTGGGGAAAGAGAGGAAGGAATTAGTGTGGGGAGGGAGAGGAAGGAGTGAATTTGGAGAGAGGGAGAAGTGAGTGTGGAGAAAGGAGTGAGTGTGGGGAGAGGGAGAAGGGAGAGAGAGGGAGGAGTGAGTGTGGGGAGGAAGGAGAGTGGTGAGAGCTTTATTCATCATTATAATAAAACAAGAGGTCCATGGGCCACATCGCTCACCTGAGTAACTTTGGCCATGCTGTTCTTTACCAGATTTCCTCCCTTGTAATACCTATTGTGGCCCCACCCTACCCGGGGGGTTATGATTTGAACAATTTAGAATCTACACTACCAGAGGATGCTTCCACATAAGTTTCAGCTTTTCTGGTCCAGTGGTTCTTGAGAAGATTTTTAAAGATTTTTCCTATATATTTCAATGTAAAACTTGGATTCCCTATTGTGGCCCCGCCCTACCCCCGGGGGTCATGATTTGAACAATATAGAATCTACACTACCCCAGGATGCTTCCACATAAGTTTCAGCTTTTCTGGTCCAGTTGTTCTTGAGAAGATTTTTAAAGATTTTTCCTATACATTTCAATGTAAAACTTGGATTCCCTATTGTGGCCCCGCCCTACCCCCAGGGTTCATGATTTGAACAATTTAGAATCTACACTACCAGAGGATGCTTCCACTTAAGTTTCAGCTTTTCTGGCCCAGTGGTTCTTGAGAAGATGATTTTTTAAAGGTGCTTGGACACAGATTTGAAGTTAATATTTTCTCAAGTTTTCGGTATAATATCATGACTTATATGTTGCTATAGCATTTCAAACGGAAATAAAATAAAAAACTTATTTTATCTGGAAATTATTGAAACTACAAATTTTGGGACGCGTTTGATTGATATATCCTAGCACTTTCATAAAGCAAACTTTATCCTTAATTCTTAAGAAAAGTAAAATTTTTGTTGTGTATTAATGAAATATATTCAAACTATAATCCAGAAAATTCAGAGTAGAAATATAAGAAAGCAAAACCAACTCACCAGTATTGTCAGTCCATGCTTAGTGATGTGTGCAGAGTTTAACAAATTGAACACGCCCGGTGAAACGTAAACATTAACAATAACAGAGCTCGTGCCCTGTTTACAAAAAACAGTTTACGTTTCACGGGCGTGTTCCATTTGAACATCACTGAGCACGGACTGACAATACTGGTGAGTTGGTTTTGGTTTCTCACATTTCTACTTTTTATTTTCTGGATTATAGTTTAATATTTTTCATTAATGCACAACAAAATTTCTACTTTTCTTAAGTATTAAGGATAAAGTTTACTTTGTGAAAGTGCATATATGTGTCAATCAAACACGTCCCGAAATTTGTAGTTTCAATAAGTTTTTTATTTTATTTCCATGTGAAATGCTATGAAAACATATGTCATGATATTATACCAAAAATTTGAGAAAATATTAACTTCAAATATGTGTCCAAGCACCTTTAAGATTTTTCCTATATATTTCAATGTAAAACTTGGATTCCCCATTGTGGCTCTGCCCTACCCCCGGGGTCATGATTTTAACAACTTAGAACCTACACTATCCCAGGATGCTTCCACATAAGTTTCAGCTTTTCTGGCCCAGTGGTTCTTGAGAAGATTTTTTAATGACCCCACCCTATTTTTGTCTTTTCTTGATTATCTCACCTTGTAAGGGGACTTGGCCCTTTATTTTAAAAATTTAAACTCCCCTTCACCCAAGGATACTTTGTACCAAGTTTGGTTAAAATTGGCCCAGTGGTTCTTGAGAAGAAGTTGAAAATGTGAAAAGTTTACAGACGGTCGGACTTGAGCTTTCAGCTCAGTGAGCTAAAAAACCAGTATATTTGACATGTGTGAAAATTAAGAAATAAAAATTGTTGTGAAGTTGTTTTGGGAGCCAGTTTTAACCGCACCTCATCATAATGAGGAAATCATAGTATTATGTGCAACAGCACGAGTGACAATGTGAAGGTGCGTTGTTTACAACACAAACCAAGCCATCACAATAACACAACTCTGTCTCACTTACATACAACAGGCTATTGTGCTTATGCAAATTTACACAACATGCTGGTGCGCTTACACAAAACATGTTAATTTACACAACTTTACACTACACTCTGTTGCGTTAACACAACTTTACACAATTTGGTTGTATGTAAGCGTGACAATGTAAAGTTGTGTTATTGTGACAGCGTGCTGTGTAAAGTTGCATTAGCATGATGCATGTTTTGTGTTAGTGCATTGTCTAAAGTTGTGTTAGTTTACAGCACTGTTTTGTGCCAGGGCAATTGACTATGCATGTTTTGTTGTGTTAGCACAATGGCATATTGTGTAAAGTTGTGTTAGTGTGACAGCACTGTTTTGTGTAAGCTTGACGGCATGAAATTTGTTAGCGTGAATATGTGTTGTGTGAATTTGCATTAGTGCAATGGCTTGTTGTGAACAATGTGCTGTTGCATTGTTGATAATGCACTGTTAGACTTTTGTAAATGGTCCTATCGGGATACAATATGTAAGGTACTGAATCAATGTAATCATCTACTCCCATGCTTAGAACAACTCCCATTGATGGAAAAAAGCTGTGCCCATCCCCTTTTAACACTATTTTCAAATGGAAAAACCTTTATTTTGTGTATCTTATGCAATTAATTCTATATCACAAGTATTAGTGCTATCTATGCAAATTCTTAATTTGGATGTATTCTTCATTAAGCTCAAGAAATGCACTAAATATATGAGTAAATAAAATCATATGGACATTGTACATGTGTTTATTATACTTCCAACATGTGAAATACTGCAATTTATTTATTAAATTAAAATCATTATTTTTCACAGTGTGAAAAAAAGGATTTTTTATATTTTCACTTGTTCTTTGCACTCGTGAAAACATTAAAAAAATCTTTACCACTTGTGAAATAAATTCCATATTCAACTTCAAAACATTGAATATATCCTCTATATATTTTGTATAAAACTAAAAATAATGATAATGCCAAGAACATAATCAACAAAATCTGAAAGCTTTCTCAGAATTTTACAATGGCATATAATATATTTATTGGTCTACAGAATTCATAAGTTTTCCCCTTCCATATTCTGCTGTACAGAGAGTGCCTGGTGAAAGCTGTCCTGTATAATTCCTGTAACACCAATTTCTCTGTAGGAGCAGCCTGCAAGTGTTAGTGGTAGCTTATGCTCACCAATATAGGAGTAAATACACTGAAGTATCTGGTTGTGTCCAACTCTATGCTGTGGTATGCAGTCCTAAACAAAAAGCAATATCATCATAATCATTAGCAATAGTTCAGCAAATAGTAAACTGACAATGTCATATGAGGCCCTGGGTGTGTGTTTATACATGTACCCATAGTGTGGAATGCATCACAATGTCTTATTACTTTAAAATTATCTTAAAATACGTACATCACAAATTTTTCTCTTTTTTTTAAACATAAAGAATAAATTTTAGTGCAAGCATGTGTGTCAATCTAACACACGCAAATTTTGTAATTTTTTTTATAACTGTGAACTATAAATGAAGTTTCTAAACATGCTTTTAAAATATATTAGTTTGAAATGCTCTCACAACATATATAAGATATGGAATTCTATTGAAATTTTTGATGGATATAGAATACAAATCTGTGTCTATCCCCTTTAAAAAAGATATTTAGGTGTGTTTCTTCCAAAGTATACTTTTCACCTATGTAGTATGAAGTCTGCATGGCAAAAATTCTTGAGAATTATTGCATCAAACAGTCTTATCAATAATCTTGACTTTTGACCTTGACCTTTGACCAAGTGACCACAAAATAAATGTATCTTTTTCAAACCATCTTCCAACTATATAGAAATACATGATTTCTAAAGAAATATTCAAGTTAACTGCATCCTACAAATGTGTAATGATTATGGATACTAACTTTTGACCCTGACCTTTAAATTGCCAATGTAAATCACAATTTTTTTTGTGTGTGTGTGTCTTTCTTTATACGGGTGAATTAAGAAAATGACCACCAAACTGAAATTTTTTGGAAAAATTCAACTACCGTATATACTCGCCTATAAGTCGGTTTTTTGGGAGTTAAATTTTGGTCCAAAACTCTATATCTGAATTATAGGCGAGTCATATAAAATTGGCGTTATTTTGAACGCAAACATGTAGTTTTTTATAAACATGTCCAACGATTATCGTTGAATAAAGTCTGCATATATAATTTTTCTAAGATTATGCATAAAGTACAAGCATTTACATATTTCAATAATTTTATCTTTATCCTAAGTGTGCAATACTAATTTTTTTTGATGATTTAAAATTGAATATTGGCATCATTTCTCAAAAGAATTAACTAAAACAAGTTAAAACATTGATTTGAAATTGTCAACCGGTTCTTGCAAAAAGTTGTACCGACTTATATGCGGGTCAATAGCAAATCCCTCCAAAATAACCTCAAAAATTACAACCGACTTATAGGCGGACCAACTTATAGGCAAGTATATACGGTACTTCTAGATCTAACATATTTTTCACTTATATCATCATATTGCACATGCATTATAGTTTAAAATCCTGAAGTGGCAATAGAATAGACAATTGGATTAAAAAGTTTCAGAATTTTTATTAGTAAAATTTCTTTTGAAAGAAGAAAATATCACTACACCTTAAAAGACTTTCTAAAATACATAATCACAAGAAATTATAGTTTTTAATGCTTCAAAATGGTAAAAGGGGTATAAATGATTAAATCTAGACCTTGATTGAGTATCTTCTCTTGTATGTGTGACAAAGAAAATGACTTTTTGATTGTCATTTTACATTATTTTTTCAATTCTGGTTTGAAAAGTTTTAATATGAAAAAAATATGAAGCAAAAAAATTGCCCAAATTTCACTTTTTTGTCCGTTCAAGTCAATTCTTTAAAAATAAGCCAAAAAGGAATTTTTATATACGAGTTCTCTTACAAAAAATACTAGATTTTGAGGTGACCCTATGTTACATTATTGTGTTGCACTCCTGACATCTGATATGTATTTTATTTAACATTGTTTTAAAAATTATAACACACAATAAACCATTCTTACTTTGTAAATTAATTTGTCTTTTTGATATTTTTGATCGTTTACGGCAGGTTTTTCATATTTTGAAGACCTTAACACATGATTATTTGCAAAGTGTAATATATATAAATTGTATATAAAACTATATGTGATATGATGAAAACTATTCTGTGAATTAACTAGAAAATTTCTGTAATTTGTTGATAGACATAGTGTTTTGAACATAAAGTATCAAACATTTTTTTCAACTCATTTTTTAGTAAAGATAGTTAAAAAGCATTGGTAATTGTAAAGCAGTTTTGTTGCACTCCTGACTGCAGTAAAATTTAAAATTAAAACCGCACAACACAAAAATTCATAAAGTGTTGGCAACATCAAGTGGTAATGAAATTGTGCAATATCTATAGTCCAATATTTTATAATTAAAACAGATAAAAGTATTTGAAATTCGCATTTTATCTAAAATTATTCCCTATTTATGCCAAAAAAACTAGCTTAAATGTATATTTAGAAGATAAAATATATTTTATAGTATATTTTCCTTTAGAGGACAAACACAATAACCCACCAGAAAAATTCTACTTATCATTTTTTCTTTATTTCTATTCTTATTGGATGATTTATAATTCTAACATATTTGTTGCACTCCTGACCAAAAGCACTGGGACCTTTAAAGTAGAATTGTGAAGTGAAAATTGCATAAGAACTTGTTCTGTTGTTTCAGTGAAGTTGAAGAGGAATTACTTGAATTTTATGACAATTTTTTAGTGTGTGTATTTTTAACATTCATTTAAAAAATCACAAAAAGGATACAAACACATCTGAATTGATAAAATTGAAAAAGGAAGGATTTTAATAATAAAACTGTCAATAATTTAGTATTAAATTATACAAAAAGATCATTATTAATTAATGAATATGTCTAAGCATGAATAGAAGTGTTTTCGTCACACAACTTGAATCTTTAAAAAAATGTGTTGCACTCCTGACCATATAAATATAGATCTGAAGCACAGACAGATCCAGTAATTAATAAATCTATTTGGTAAAAATGTTCTTTGTGTCTTTCTTTTCCAAAATAAAAATCAGAAAATCATATAATGATAATTGTTTTTTCATGCTTGGGAGCAAAACATCAAATGTTGCACTCCTGACATTATTGGGTATGCACATACACTTGACTCTAATTAATGCTGCTTGTGATTTATATAACATTTTTAAGTTTTAAAATGTATATCAGTTATTGTTTTACACTAAGAAAATTCTTTTTTGTCTTAATTTTCTTTCAGAATTTTACAATTGATGTTTTTTTGGCAACACTTCATTTTTTCTGTTGCACTCCTGACATGGTATAACATTTTTTTAAACATCAGCCATGACCACAACTTGATTAAACAAAAGTTACTACAGCCCACATTTAAAGCTCAATATTTTGAATATTATCAGGAAAGTCTTTATTTTCAACATTAAGCATTATTATTTATTTTACAGATCTCCAAAAAATATTGAAATTTCAAAATGTCACAAAAAGGTGTTGCACTCTCAACAATTTTAGCATCATTTTTGGGAAAATTTTTTTGTTAATTGAGATATTAACGAGATATTTTGCAGGTATTTAGACACTATCTAGAGACATATGCTGAGACATAGAAATCTATTTCCCGTGCCTGTATTTTTAGTGTGGGTTGATAAATATGCATTTGGTCTTTTTTTTTTAATTCACCCTTAACTATCCTTTATCTATGTACTGAATATTCACTGAATATGAATACTCTTATTTCAATTTTTGTGCCCTGCCATAATCCTGTGAATGAGGTTAAAAATACATAAATGATCTATTAAAAACTAATTCTCATCTATTCCTGTAAAATACAACCGATCCTATTGTGACCCATACTCATCCAAGGGGAATGCCTATCTACAGTACAGGGGTTTTCTTCATTATTTAACTAATTTCATTAAGTGTAATCTTGCTAATCTATAGACTAAGAATTTTATGCATGGTTTCCTGCAAACCCACAACCTTTGCTTTGGAGTCCTGCAATCTACACTCATTAAGGTTGTCACAGTATAGGCCCCATGCAGTCTTATCCTTTGGGGTCATGATTTGTATAAATATAATTCTACAATTCACAAGGGTGCTCCTGTCACTAAATTTACTCTGTACAGAAGATTTTTAAAGAGTTTTTCTATACAATCAGTATCAAAGAAATTGAATTCTCTTTGAATCCCTTCCATTCTTTGGGATCAAGACCTAAAAGTTCTTAATCTTCACATGAAATGACATGAAAACAGCTTTCGTCTTTTCTAATCGGTGGTTTATATATATATATATATATATATATATATATATATATATATATATATATATATATATATATATATATACATGTATATATATATATATATATATATATATATATATATATATATATATATATATATATATATCCAAAATTGAAATAAAGTCTCAGTAATCGGATTACAATATTAAACAAATATAATTTGTAAAGCTTCTGAAGATTTTTAATGAAAGCGCTAAAGCTTTACGGAGAATTCTTGTGTTTTCTTTTTATATTTGTTTAATATATATATATATATATATATATATATATATATATATATATATATATATATATATATATATATATATATATATATATATATATATAAATTCATTAATCAACATCCTAAAGATGTTTTGCGGACTGATTAGTTGAAACATTTATAGCAGTTATGCTGGAGAAGTCAAAATTTAAAATGTATAAAGATGCAAAAACATTATATATTTCTATCACAAAAAATGTAACCTTCTACCTGACAAATCACAAGATTTTATAAGGAAGGAGTTTTTTTTTTTTGTATAAAATAAAAAATATAACACCAAATGCATGTGGCTGGAACAGTTTTTTTTTTTTTTGGTATAGAAAAATTCAATTAGCAATTGCCTCACTACAGTTGAAATGAAACTTTTACTTAACATTTAAGAAAAGGAACAAACTCTAGCAACTTTCCAGGAAGACTAATATTTCAAATCCATAGTGTTGACATCCTCATCCTCCATTCAAGTTTAATTTAATGAGATTCAATATTCAAAAGCCATATTTTACATTTGTAAAATAACTAAAGGTCATAATTGCTGGCACTCTCAAGGCTTGCACCACCTGCATCTTTTTTCCCCCACTTTCACTGAAAGTGGGGGATATTAATTTCAATCTGTCTGTCCGTCCATCCGTCTGTATTTCTGTCTGTCTGTAACACTTTTGTTTCCACACAATATCTCAAGAAGCCTTTGAGCTTTTACACTGAAATTTTATACCACAACTCCCTATGACACCCTATGGCCTAAAAAAGACCCCTATTGATTTTGAGGTCAAAAGGTCAATGTCATAAATTCAAAAATTCTGCCTGTTTAACTTTCGTTTCTACGCAGTATCTCTAGAAGCCTTTGAGCTTTTACAATGAAATTTTATACCTCAACTCCCTATGACCTAAGGAAGATCCCTGTTGATTTTGAGGTCCAAAGATCAAGGTCATAAATTCATACATTCTGTCTGTGTGTAACACTTTCCTTCCGGGCAATATCTCAAAAAGCTTTTGAGCTTTTGCAATGAAATTTTGTACCATAACTCCTTATGGCCCTGCTTGCCACTCTCAAAGTGTCCCCCCCCCCCCCTTTTTTTGGTCAACTTTTTTTTTTTCAAAAGTCAATTGAAAATTTGTTGGTATCGATCATGCTCAAAGTTTTAAAGTTACTCCCCTTTTGCAAGCTCTCGACAGCTCAGTATTACATTAGGCAACAATTCCATATCATAATATTTGTTTTATATTTTTTATTTTGGTCAATTTTTTTTCAAAAGTAAATTTGAAATTTGTTGCCATCAATCACGCTCAAAGTTTTAGAGTTACTCTTCGTTTGCAAGCTCCCAACAGCTCAGTATTATGTTAGGCTACAACTCCATATCATATCTGTAGGGAAAGTAGTCCCTACAAATTTTGATGTACTCAATAAAATATGTTCAAAATAAAGTAGTCCCAGAGAATTGACACTGTATGGAGTATGCCCTGTACTATTTTAAGCACAGGAGCATGTAGAGAGTTATTACATATACCGGTAATACAAGTTGTAGGTGAACTTTATATTCTAATTACATCTATTAGAACAGTTTAGTAAAGGCTAAATTAGACACCATATCTTGTGTAAAATTTTGACAATATCGAATGTGAATGAGAATGCAGTACATTGACAATACCTAGTAATAATGAAGAGATTGCACTAGATTTCTGACAGAGAGAAAAAAAATGCTCTTAAATTTATTTGCAAAAAAGCCCTGCTGATACATTTGCACTAAAATATGTGCGAGTGAATTTTTCTCATTTTACAGTACTCCCTCTGCCTTTGCAAGGGGGGACGGGGTTCAACGGGCTCAAAATATTATATGACATCAAGTTTTATTTTAGCCTTACCATTTGATAGTAAACTTTGGTATAAACTGGTGATGCATCTATGTTTAATTGTTGATGCAAAACCTCCTTAGCTAGCTTTATTAAAGACTCATCATTTAAGCTTCCCACTCGATCTTCCAGCTCTTTCATCCATGCACCACCCATCATCACCTAAAAACAAGTAAATATCTACATGTTATTTACTGTATTTTTCATTTCTGAAGTGAGTTATTCAAATATACAATTAAAGGATACATAGTGAGGTTTATCAATCTGTGTGCATGTACTTGAATGTATGTTTAAATTACAAGAAAGAACTAAGTATACACCTTTAAGTAAATCTTCCTGTTTAGCAATTGAAAGTATAATGTGAATGTGTACTTAAAAAATGTTTTAAATGTAAAAGTTTTAATCATTGAAAAATTGAAGATTGCACATAAAATTTATTGTGTACTATATAACTGTTTCAAATGAATATTATACAATTATTGAACCCCTGTCAAAGAGACCATAAATTTCACAATTTTGAATAAAAATATTTCTTATCATAACCATGCAGTTAGTTTCTCTGCTGAATTAAATAGAGCAGAGAAAATATTTTTCAAAGAATAAATGAATTTTCACTGTATGATCAAAAGAGCCCTGCTTAAGGAGAAATGCCACACCAAAATTTTATTTAATAGGTCTTTAAGAAATCCCTTTTAAACTATGGTTTCAGCAATGAAAGACCGATATTAGCTTTTAATTATTTTATACGATTTTTTTTGCCTTTTTTCAGAGAAAATGAAAAAAAATGTTTTATTTGCAAATAACATGCTTTATGGTTTAAAATTTGCTATTAATAAATGCATAATATGAATGTCTAATAAAATATGTTGATAAAGGCTGGATAGACATTTTAATTTTTTAAATAAAAAATTATTTATGAAAATAAAACATTTAATTTGTGAATATTTTTAAACCTATGGTTAAAATCTTCATGAAACTAGTCACAACAAGGGAGAATATGTTGGTCAATCATATTTTAAAAAGAAATTGAAATGAAATTGAGATACTTTAGGGAAAATAATTATTTTAATATTTGGACCAATCCCGATCAAAATTAAACTGATCCCGATCAAAATTAACACAAAATAAATAAAATAATAATTTACTGCCTTCTTTTTGTATTTACCACCAAGAAATCTATTTGATTATCAAGTTCAATTACTTTTTAACCTGTATTACACCTAAACAAACTAGTATTCTTGTGAAAATGTTATCTATTTCCAATTATTCGTAATTCTGGTTGGGATCAATTAAAATTTTGATCGGGATTGGCCAAAATCAAAAAAAATTAATTTCTCTTAAATTTCACAATTTCATTTCAATTTCATTTTTAAAATATGATTGCCTAAGATTTTCTCCCTAGTTGTGACTAGTTTTATGAAGATTTTAACCATAGATTTAAAAAAAAATTCACAAATTATGTATTTTATTTCCATAAATTATTTTTCTTTTAAACAAGAGGCCCAAGGGCCTTAACGGTCACCTGAGTATGATACAACAATTTAAAGGATGCATAGAGTATAAAATGAACTGAAAGGTGAAACTTTGTTGCCAAAAAGCAAGAAAAATAGGGTGATCATGATCAACAACATAATTGGTCTTAATATTCATTAACAGTTTATAAATTATGTTCTATAAATCTGATCCCCATTTATCACTAACACCATACAGTATATTAACAAATTATCAATGCTTCTGTACTATTTTATTCCTTTGTTGAAATTTCTTACATTGGCCTCTCTTGGTCCTTGATGAACATTTAATAAGATAAGTTATTTTTGTCTCATTTTTATTTATCTACTACTTACAAGTCTATCTGATCATTAAAACTATGAAAGTACTTTTTGTATTATACAATAAAAGTTTTTGCATAATTATCTTATTCTATTTACCTTTCAAGTACATTATTTACAGTGATGAATTATCAAAAGTAAATGGCAAAGGGGAATAACTCCTCTCAGTAGAATACAAAATAATAGAGCCCTGGCCAGGACCAGAACACTTGACCAAATGGTCCAGATGTTCAAAAATCTGGTAAAAATAATCTTCCTTATTAAAACTTTTACTCTTTTTGCCTCTGATATGCCCAGGTGCGGAGAAGATTTTTAAAGAAATAACACATTTTTACTACAGATTCACTATATTATCAATAGAGCCCCCCCCCCCCCCCAACACCAGAGCTTCTGACCCTGGGACCATAAGTTTGCTCATCATAACTAATCACTTTGTTTATCTGCTTAACGCCAAGGAGCAAACAGGATTATTTAATAGAATTAATGCATTTTTACTATATTATCAAGAGCCCCACCCTCACACCAGCACATCTGACCCAGGGGTCATGAAATTCACTACTCTGGAAGAAGCACTCTTGCTCATCATAACTATACACTACTCTGGAAGAAGCACTCTTGCTCATCATAACTATACACTTAGCTTCTTTGCTTTTTTAACCAAAAGCAGAAAGGAATATCTTCAAATAAAATTTGCTTTTTCACTTTATAATCAATAGAAGCCCCCCCCCCCCCCCCCCCCACCAGAACCCTTAAAGGTGCTTAGACACAGATTTTGAACCTAATATTTTCTCAAATTTTCTGTATAATATCACGACTTGTATATTGAAATAGCATTTCACACGAAAATATAATTAAAAACTTATTTTTTCTGGAAATTATTGGAACTACGAATTCCTGGACGCGTTTGATTAACACATCTTTGCAATTACACAAATTTTAACTTTATCCTTAATTTTTAAGAAAAGAGGCGATTTTGTTATGTATGAATGAAAAATATTACATCTATAATCCAGAAAATTCTGAGTAGAAATGTTCGAAAGCAAAACCAACTCACCAGTATTGTCCGTCCGTGCTATGAGCAGGTTGGGGGGAAACGTAAATTCCGCTATAATAGTGGTATATCACTATTATAGTGAGATTCCGCTATATTTTCAGCTGTAGTTACCCTCGATTTCATCAAATAACATATTTGCTGATTAAAGCGCAAGTTATGATGGGTATAAAAATAGACAATAATTTGAATCCTTGCATGTTATGAATTTTATTTAATTTTCTGTCGATGCGTTTAATAATACGAACACACTTTTTAAAGCGGAAGTTACATTTTTAACATAGCAACCAGTGATTGCAGTAGTATTGAACAAAGACTGACTCTTAATATCTCTCACACATGTGCACAAATTAGTGCTTGTAATAACTTTGAACCCACGTTGAAATACGTTTGTCGAATTTACAGAAGAAAAGATGATTTTTGCCTGCATGGTAACGGGTATGGAGGCCCGTTGTGACAAACGAAAGAAGCTCATTACATGTTCACTTTACTCTGATGAAACCGATTTGTATTGCTTAATTGCAATAAATCGTGAACAATTATGTAAGATGTCATTTCTGCAGGTAATTACAAACACATTGTTTGACATTCTTTTTGAGAATGTTAAACAAAATTAACAATACGAACAACAAAGGGCCTCGGTTTTAAGGGTGTCTTCCATCTATTCCCACTTAAAAAAAATCCACATATTTCCGCTTGCAAAAATGATATAGTTAATTCAGAATATAACTTTGGGCAGACAGCCCATCAGTTACAAAAATAACTTATAATCTATACATATTTTACAATAAGTAAGAATCTCACAGAGTCTAAATGGGGGGTGAGACCCCTGATCAAGTGTTCCTCAGTCCCACAGTTCCATTCACTTGTATAGAAGACTATAATATATGCTATAATATAAAGCAGAAGAAAGAATACTTTAAAACAATTAAATTGTTTTACAATATATGTAGCAATGCTGTTGTATTATATATAAACATTTGAAAATTAACCTTGAAAAAATAGACATTGGGTCAACCTGACAGATCATCGTAACGTAATGTAAGAGCATGATGGATAAATTTCCCTAAGCCAACTAGGGTACATATGCGATGTGAACCGAATAAATGAAGTAATTTAAATGTACTTGGAGATTTGTAATAATATTCATTAATGTACTTTTTCCTTAAATTTAGATATCTATGGCACTGAAAAATGAAATTAAATTCGTCTTCAATTTGATGCGTATCGTAAACATCGCAGAATCTATCCTCCCTGCTCTTGCCTTGTGTTGAAAGTTCATTTGTGTTATAACAATTATGTTAATTACATCTCAACTTAGATGGAGTTTTTTTTAAATTCAATACACTTTAAGACAGAAAATACATTTCATAAATCGATGAAAATGCAATGATATATTTCACTTAATTTTGTTCAGAAAACAGATAAATAGATTTTAAGAAAAAATATGATGTAATTCACTCAATTTTTTACTCCTTGAATACGTACAATTTAAGACAGAAAATTAAGTAAATCGATTCAATTTCTTTTCCAATTTGCTTAAGCTTAAAATACTGTATGAAATATGAAGATAACAAACAGTAATCAATCTCAAAAGTCCATTGAAACAATAAAAAAAAATTAAACAGAGCAAACACGGACCCCTAAAAAACATCAGAGGTGGGATCAGGTGCCATAGAGGAGTGAGCACCCCCTACCAACCGGTCAACTCTGCCGTGTGCTCCTTGTCATGATCGTGAAAAAACCGTAGACAATTCAATGTGTAAATAATGGCTTATGTGTACTTAAAAAAGCAGGCTTGATATTTTAGCGGCTGTGGCGCAGACAACGATGTACTAATTCGTGATAACCATTAACAAATGAATTTCGCAAAATCCATGATCGACAGGGGATGCCTACTCCTCCATAGCACCTGATCCTACCTTTTCGAAAAAATTTATTGTTCAAATGGCCTTTTTCGTTATCTTCATATTTCTGTTTCTTCTTGTATTTCGTTCATTTATACCAGAATAATCTACTTCTGGTAATTAGAATTTCATTGTCTCTTTTTTGTTGCATAACGTACATGTAGTTAAATATAAAATTTTTTGCAATTTACACAATCAATAAATTGTGCAGAATCTATAAGACGTCACATCTACAGGTAATTTTCACGTTTCCCCTTTTCTTGCTAGGACTAATTATTTTATTTCATGGTTTCATCATCAAGAAAGGAAACATTTTAGATGTACCTAAGATTACATGTAAAAGTGACATATATTGCTTACGATTTAGACGAC